CAAAGCTTTATCTGCGTTTTCATCGATTTTATCGCTAGCTTCATATCGTGAAGAAAACAGCCATTTTTGTCGTGACAATCCTTCCAATATTTGATTTGGATTTGAATTGGCATAGATGATATTGAGGATGTCGTTGAGTAACACACCAAAATAAGTTTGTGATTGTTGGGATCGAATTAAAAGATCAAATCTTAACCCCAAAATAAATTCACTCATTTGGATTCTGAATATAAAGTTACTTTTGAAAAGCCCTGAAAATTTGTTTGCTTACATTTCAGAACCACATTTCCCACTCTCAAGAAGAATTTTCGTCGGTATTTTTGCAGTTTTGTTTTTGCGTTTTCTAGATAATTTTGAAGGAAAATATGAAGCTTTTTGAAAACTGGAGTAGTTGAACTTCAGTAAACTGAATATTTGAAGCATTTGCCGAAAATCTCGAAGCCGGGTAAATAAAGCCACAAAATCGACGCACTCCTGGAAAAGTGATAACAAATTGGTGTTCTAGATTAAAGTGCAAAAGTCACCGGAGGAGGTACCTGAAAAATGAGCGCCGGTAGCCCTTACAAACAAATAAGTCACTCAGTGCACTAAGGGGTCAAATTTCAAATGCGTTTTTACAAAAATCTAGAGCGTTTGGGAAAAAAACTAGAAGCACCATCGTGTTGCCAGTGTTCGACTTGCGTAAGTCATATAGCTTGCGAAATCTAGTCGTTCCCTAGTTAGATGTCACCTCCAGGAATTGTCGAAAGTTTGAGGATCAAATAATGATAAGAAAGATGAACATGTGTCGAGATGTGATCTGAAAATGAGTATAAATATCGGCGAACCAATATTTTAACGCCGAAGAAGAGGTCAAAAAATGGCTGATAGATTGGTTTGCGTCAAAACCGAAGATTCTCTACGAGAGAAGCATTTGACTTCTGCCAGTAAAATGGGCAAAAATTATACAAAATAATGGCAAATATCTCGCATGATTTGAAGAGTTGTTAACTGAAAAAACATTTCATTTTAAATAACGTCCCAAGTCATACCCACCAACCCAATAGCTTCGATTAAGTTCGAGTTTCTGATTTGTCAATAATTTATTGGGTTGGTGAATTGAAAACTGCGGGACTTTGTACTAAAATTTATTGAACATAAAACCATCAATCCATTCCAAATAATTTCCATTATTATTGACGACTTCTGCCCATTTTTCAGGCAATTTACGGATTCCTGTTTCGCAGTAGGATTTTGTTTTGTGTGTGAGACAAGTGTGAGACTCAAAAGGACTGGAGATGTCCCAGTTTGAGCACTTTCTTCAAAAGAAACCCATTTTAGTGTCAATAGAAAAGTTGTAGAGAATCAAAAATTAGGCTTATAGCCAAATTTCCAAAAAGATACACTTAGTAGTTTCGCTTAAAATGCAAGTTTTGTGAAAATTCGTAAATTTCGCATTTCTTAAAAATCAGTTTTTGAATCGTTCTGAAAATGTGGATATAAGCTTAATTTTTGATTCTCTACAACTTTTCCATTGACACCAAAATGGGTTTCTTTTGAAGAAAGTGCTCAAACTGTCACCTATGACAATAGCCCGCAGTTTTCAGTTCACCAACCCAATAGGTTTTTGTGAGAAAGCTCAAATTAGAATCAAATCAAAAATTGAAATAGGTTTCATCGTTCACTTCACATCTTTAAAAAATTAACTAATGCGTGCTTTTCAGAATTTCTTAAAGGACAATTTGTAAATAAATAATAGGACTTTCTGATAAAACAAACCATAGATTGATTGGTTCATTATTTATTTCAAAAAGTAACCTTTAAAAAAACGGACAAGACTTTAAGGCCAACCTGATAAAAGGAAAAACTATCGTTTAATCTTGTTACATCAATGAATTAATGTTAAAAGAATTTAATTCTCGAAGCAAGATAAGACTATGAAACGAGTTTAGGAGTAAAGCTAGAGCTAGAGCTAGAGCTAGAGTTAGAGCTAGAGCTAGAGCTAGAGTTAGAGCTATAAAGCTAGAGCTTTAGTTTAGTTTCTTTAGTTTAGGAACTACACATTGTTACCCTTTTTATGTAAAAAAAGAGAAATATAAAATTAATAGGCTAAAAATTGATTGTTTACGTTGCAGTGATCGAGAGATGGACCTTCGGCGAGAGGCATTGCACCAAATCGGTCATGCGCTTGGGTTAAAACATTCAAAAGAGCTAAACTCGATCATGCATCATGAGCAGTATCGAGTAAGTATTCAATATAAGTAAAATTAGACTTAGCAAAGTATTTAAAGTGGTAAAATGAGTTCGTCAGAAACCAAAGATTTACGTAAATCATGGAAATTTTCACCCGATCTTGGTAAGGACTAGAGATGGGAAAATTCCAACCCGAACCTAATTCCACCTTCGTTTTCTCAGCCGTCTCTTGGCCGATTGCTCTGAAATTTTGTCTAGAAGCAAAGTATGCCAATTTCTATTTGTAAACAAAATTTCAGAACAATCAGCAAAGAAAAGGCTGAGAAAAGGAAAGTGTAATTAGGTTCGGGTTGGAATTTTTTCACGTCTAGTAAGAACTAGTCCAAGTCTTCTCAAGTTGCGTAAACTTTCACAATTTCAGCATGTTGATAGAGAGGCTGTGATTGAGTCAATCGACATCGAATCGCTTGAAAAGCTTTATGGTAAAATTTAATCTCTAATTGAAAAGAACATCAATTTTTTAGAGAATCAAAAGCCTACAAAAACCAGACAATTTTTGAGGGAACGATTTGATCATTTGAAAAGTTTTGATGGTTAAGAAATTAATAAAAGTTTTAGACTTTTGCTTTCTGCAGAAGTTTTCATTTTTCATAAAGATTCGTTTAAAATTTGAAGGATTTAAAAGTTTACGGGGGAAATCTAGAAGTCAGAAAGATACGGGGAAATCCGGAAGGGTAGAGCCTTACTATAACTAGCCTATCGAACTTGGCTTTAGTACAGAACAGAAAAACAGTACAAATTCAATTCTTGATCTTTCTTTGTTTCTTTCTTTCTATCTTTCTATCTTTCTATCTTTGTATCTATCTATCTTTCTATCGTTCTATCTATCTTTCTTTCTTTCTTTCTATCTATCTTTCTATCTATCTTTCTTTCTTTCTATCTATCTTTCTATCCTTCTATCTATCTATCTTTCTATCTATCTATCTTTCTTTCTTTCTATCTATCTATCTTTCTATCTTTCTATCTATCTTTCCTCTTGTCTTCCCTCTTTCTCTTGTAAGGCTAAGGTACCGAATCTAGAAATCAGAAAAGTTTCTAAAGTTCTTAAGCAGCAAAAACTTTTGAAATTTATGAAAGCTTTCTCAATAGAAATTTTGTAATTTTGTATAACTTTCAAATTTCGTAATTTGTTATCGAAAAAAACTTGGAATCGAAAAGCGGTGAATCACCAAGAGAGTTTTCTGGCCCAGACAGCCAAAAAAGTTGATGACGCTTCTTTTGGTCTTGATCTTTTTGCCTTTCTAATCTCGAAGAAAAAGGCGTTTATTTGATTTGAAATTTGACAAACTTTGATATTCTCCTATGTATCTCACAATTTTATTCTCAAAAAATCCTCCTCTTTATTATGCTGGAGAAAATGTACAAGGAACATTACTGATCAAAGTAGGTTTTTCAGGCAAAATATTGTATTTTTCCCATAGACGGATTGATTCTTTTGTTATTATTTCGTATTTTTTGAGAATCAAATTTAGAGATACATAGGAGAATATCAAAGTTAGCATGCTAAAGGGTACATCTACCTGTAAAAAGTTGTATCTACTTAGAGGTACTGAGGGCACGTAGCACAAACTCAAGTCGTTGAGATTAGAAAGGCAAAAAGATCAAGACGAAAAGAAGCGTCATAATTTTTTTGGCTGTCTGGGCAGAAAACTCTCTTGGTGATTCACCGCTTTTCGATTTCAAGCTTTTTTCGGTAACAAATTGCGAAATTTGAAAGATATACAAAATTACAAAATTTCTATTGAGAAAGCTTTCAAAAATTTGCTGCTTAAGAACTTTAGAAACTTTTCTGATTTCTAATGGGTTGGTGAATTGAAAACTGCCGGACTTTGAACTAAAATTTATTCAACATAAAACCATCAATTCATTTCAAATAATTTCCATTATTATTGACGACTTCTGCCCGTGTCGACTGTGTATGGTAGATTTGTCTATCTGCCTAACTTTTCATTCTCTATCTTTTTTCTTTTGACAAAAAAGGTTTCTGTGAGAAAGCTCAAATTAGAATCAAATCAAAATTGAAATAGATTTCATCCTTTTTGACTGCTCAACTTCAAATCTTTAAAAAAATTAACTAACGCGTGCTTTTCAGAATTTTTTAAAGGACGATTTGTAAATAAATAATAGGACTTTTTGATAAAATAAACCACAGATTGATTGGTTTATTTTTTATTTCAAAAAGTAACCTTTAAAAAACGGACAAGACTTTCCGGTCAACCTGATAGCTAACAGGTTTGGGTGGCTGTTTGAAAGTTGGGGTGCTTTGGAAAAAAGCTAAGAAAAAAAGCTAGTTAACAATTCTGGTTCTCTGATAGGTATAATTTCAAGAATGAGCGTGCAACATGCAACTAGCTGCTTCGAATCAATATATCTTTTGTTCTAGGTGTTTTCCTGCATCCTCGATCCACTTCTCCGCTCTGATAAAAGGGAAAAATATCGTTTAATCTTGTTACATCTATGAATTGATGTTTACAAAATTTAATTTTCTAAGCAAGATAAGACTCTGAAACAAGTTTAGGAGTAAAGCTAGAGCTAGAGCTAGAGCTAGAGCTAGAGCTAGAGCTAGAGCTAGAGCTTTAGTTTAGTTTATTTAGTTTAGGAACTACACATTGTTACCGTTTTTATGTAAAATAGAGAAATATAAAATTAATAGGCTAAAAATTGATTGTTTACATTGCAGCGATCGAGAGATGGACCTTCGGCGAGAGGCATTGCACCAAATCGGTCATGCGCTTGGGTTAAAACATTCAAAAGAGCTAAACTCAATCATGCATAATGAGCAGTATCGAGTAAGTATTCAATATAAGTAAAATTAGACTTAGCAAAGTATTTAAATCGGTCAATTGAGTTCGCCAGAAACCAAAGGTTTACGTAAATCATGGAAACTTCCACACGATCTTTATAAGGACTATAGATGGGAAAATTCCAACCTGAGCCTGATTCCACCTTCGTTTTCTCAGCCGTCTCTTGACCGATTGCTCTGAAATTTTGTTTAGAAGCAAAGTATGCCAATTTCTATTTGTAAACAAAATTTCAGAACAATCGGTCAAGAAACAGCCGAGAAAACGAAGGTGAAATTAGGCTCGGGTTGGAATTTTTTCATGTTTAGTAAGAACTAGTTTAAGTCTTCTCAAGTTGCGTAAACTTCACAATTTCAGCATTTTGATAGAGAGGCTGTGATTGAATCAATCGACATCGAATCTCTTGAAAAGCTTTATGGTAATATTTAATCTCTAATTGAAAGGAACATCAATTTTTTAGAGAATCAAAATCCTCCAAAAACAAGACGATCCTTGAGGGAACGATTTGATCATTTGAAAAGTTTTGATGGTTAAGAAATTAATAAAAGTTTTAGACTTTTGCTTTCTGCAGAAGTTCTCATTTTTCATAAAGATTCGTTTAAAATTTGAAGGATTTAAAAGTTTAAAGGCAAAGATACGGGAAATCTATTGGGTTGGTGACTGAAAACTGCCGGCTATTGTCATATGTGACAGTTTGAGCACTTTCTTTAAAAGAAACCCATTTTGATGTTAATGGAAAAGTTGTAGAGAATCAAAAATGAAGCTTATATCCAAATTTTGCGAACGATTCAAAAACTGGTTTTCAAGAAATGCCAAATTTATGAATTTCCACAAAACTTGCACTTTAAGCGAAGCTACTAAGTGTATCTTTTTGGAAATTTGGATATAAGCTTAATTCTTGATTCTATACAACTTTTCTATTCACACCAAAATGGGTTTCTTCTGAAGAAAGTGCTCAAACTGGGACATCTCCAGTCCTCCATTTTTGAGTCTCACACTTGTCTCACACACAAACCAAAATCCTACTACGAAAGAGGAATCCGTAAATTGCCTATAAAATGGGCAGAAGTCGTCAATAATATTGGAAATTATTTGGAATGAATTAATGGTTTTATGTTGAATAAATTTTATTTCAAAGTCCGGCAGTTTTCAATTCACCCACCCATTAGAAATCAGAAAAGTTTCTAAAGTTCTTAAGCAGCAAAAAATTGAAATTTTTGAAAGCTTTCTCAATAGAAATTTTATATATTTGTATACCTTTCAAATTTCGCAATTTGTTATCGAAAAAAGCTTGAAATCGATAAGCAGGTGAATTTCTGAATCAGGTGAATCAGGTGAATTTCTGGTCCAGAGAGCCAAAAAAGCTTATTTTCTTTTCGTCTTGATCTTTTTGCCTTTCTAATCTCGAAGAAAAAGGCGTTTATTTGATTTGAAATTTGACAAACTTTGATATTCTCCTATGTATCTCACAATTTTATTCTCAAAAAATCCTCCTCTTTATTACGCTGGAGAAAATGTACAAGGAACATTACTGATCAAAGTAGGTTTTTCAGGCAAAATATTGTATTTTTCCAATAAACTGATTGATTTTTTTGTTATTCCTTACCCATTTTAATACAATTTTTGTTTTAAATACCATTTTAGTCTCAAGAAGCGCTCAATGCAAGGCAAGTGCTGGTCAAAATTCATGGTGAAGCAAGAAATTCTTGGAGTAAAACCACGGAAAGTGATAGGTAACTCCTGCTATATGTTTTATCTCTTTACTACCATAACATTGCTAGATACCTAGAATAAAAGAAACTATAGTATTTTTCGAAAGATAACTAATATTAAGGATTATCCCTTACTATGGAAGGCCACTGACTTAAGATGGGATTTCAAAAGGAGACCTAGCCTATCTTGTTCAGTTTTTCATGGGAATTCCGAATTTGCTTTTAGTTTTTCCTAAAAAAAAGCTTTTCCTTTTTCCTTGCCTTTAGTTTTTCCGCTTTTTTTTCTAGATTACAGACTAAAACTTTTGGTCCACAGAAACCTATCTTAGGGTCAATAAATAAAAGAAATTTAGTGCTAAAAGTTAGATCTATGGCCGAATTTTCAGGATAATCTGCGCTCTAAACTTTTGATAGAGGGGCCATTTACAAAAATGGAAAGCAGCTTCGGATTCAGTGCAAGATTCTGCGTCGAATGGTCTATGGCTGATGTAATTTGGCCTTGACCTTCCCTTGTTAGTAGGGAATAGATAGAAAAGTTCACATAGAAAAGAGATGAACAGTTTGAAGTACCTGAATCGGTCCAGAATCGGCCCGAATGAAAATGTTCCAAGTCGGTTTTTACTTCCCTGTCGAAGTTGCGGCCAATCATGGGAAGACCAGTTTGGCCACTTTTCACCAGGCCAGGGCCATGATGCTAAAATGGGTTTATGCAAAAGAAAGTTCATTTATTGGAGCCGAACCTTGCTGGTTTGACTTAACAGTCCAACAACTTACCACTGGTCAACCAGTGATGCTTGTAGCCTCTTGGTCGTGGTTCTATAGCCTAAAACGTTTTTAGGGAATTCTTTGCGTTTGCAAGCTATTTAGAAAAAACTAAAAGCGGATTCGGAATCCCCGTGAAAAACTGAACAAGATAGGTTAGGGTTTAATCAAAAATAGAGATAGAGTTTAACTAAAAAGCCAATTTTAACTTTGTCTTACAGCACGAATTCTGATGGATCAACTTCAACAACGAGAGATACAACTTATTACGATTCAACAATTGAAATTCTTTCTGGTGAGAGCCGGGTTTGGGGCGTATGTGTGGGAAAGTCAGAGATTCCGGCAGGAGAACTTCGACTAGACTTCAGGTAATTAAAATGTTGCATAAAGTCAGTTTAATATGGCATTTTGGGCCTACATTCTCGTAGTCGTTAACTGTTTTACAAATAATTTAATGAAAATTCAAAAATAGTTTAAACTATTATAGTCATTTAATAGCCCTGAATCTCCTCTTGAAAACTAGTACAAAGTTACCAAGAAGTTTCTACGAAATGAATAACATAAGCCTTTAAAAACTTGAGTTAACACTAGATCAGGGAAATTGGGTTAACGTCAATTGATGTCCAACGGGAAAATTAAATATCTCCGCCAACTTTACTTCAATCTTCTTGTGCTTGATTTCAATCGATAGAAAATGAAATTCTGCGTCAATTGATACCAAAATCAAAAAGATCGAAGTGAAATCGGCCGAGATATGCCATTTTCCGTTGCACGTCTATTGACGTTCACGCCGAAAGCTCCCAGCTCTAGTTCAGACCAAAAATAATCGTCATTCGTTACCAGATCGTCTTGAATGTGTTAAGATATTAAAATAGAGGTAGTTGATGAAATTCTAAATTCTAAAACCTAAAATGTTTGTAGCATTGAGATTACAGCTTCAACTTGCCACCAAACTGTCTCTCGACATTTCACTCATTTGATGGAAAAATTCTCTATTCGGTGAAAGCCGAAGTGGACACAGGACGGTGGAATTTTAACAAAACAACGGCTTCGGTAAGTGAACGCAAAGATTACGATCCAAATCAAACATGACGCAAATATTCGATCAAGGATCACTTTAATAGATTCAGCTTCAATATGTGGTCTATTTTTGGGAAATTGAAGACCTTCTGCTAGAAAATAACGATATTCTTGAGCTCAAAAATCAATCTTCAGGAGTTCACTGTCGTAAAGCCTTGTGACTTGAGCTTGAATCCAAAACTCCTTGCCACTCATCGAGCAGAGAAATCTCACAACATTGGCATCCCATTATTTCGAAAAGGAAATGTGACCTTGACGGTAAAATTTGAAAATTTATTTACCGTATTTTCTCTAATAGTAGTGCACCATGAGCGTCGCCTAAATTGCTCAAAATCTCGAGAGCCGTTTATCAGAACCTATTGATGTGGGGTCAGAAAATGTAGCTGGCGATGAGATCTAGTGGGGGATTAGAGCGTTGAGCTTCTGCAAAAACTTGGAAACCGTAAAATAGTCATCAAATCGGCGCGCCGGGGTGCACTACTATTAGAGAAAATACGGTATTTATCAAATTTATCAACTTCGATCTTTGGATTAGTTATCTATTTATAGATATAAGATATATAGATATTAGGTTGTCCGGAAATAAATGAGCGTTTTGTATTCTTTATTATTTGGGTACATTTTTCTCAATAAAATATGCTCTGTACCCTGTAATGTTATATACCATTAAAAAGCTGAGTTCGGGTTCTCTTTAACCATACTTTTAAATTTTGTTAAAAATAAAATTTTTTGCGAATTTTAAGCTTCGCCGTTTTAGATGCCCGAAACCAACTTTCGCCAGATTTTCTTTTTATGAGTTCAAACTCGGTTGCAATGCAGCTGAAACGGCACGTAACATTAACAAAGTTTCGGGCCAAGGCAGTATCGGCGAGTCAACAGTGCGAACTTGCTTCCGAAAATTCCGAGCTGGTGATTTTGATCTCGAAGATAAAGGAGGTTGTGGCCGTCCTGTTGAACTCGTTGACGACGAACTGAAGACCCTGGTGGAAGCAAATCCACGTACGACTATTCGAGAGCTTGCGGAGGAGCTTGGTGTGGGCAAGACGACCATTTCCGGCCAACTGAAACGGAATGGAAAGTCAAAAAAGCTCGATAAATCGGTGCCGCACGAATTGAATGAAAATCAAAAAAATCGTCGTTTTGGGGTGTCGTCTGTTCTTCTTCAGCGCAACAAAAACCATCCATTTCTCGACCGGATCGTAATGTGCGACAAAAAGTGGATCCTCTACGACAACCGGCGACGTTCCGCTCAGTAGTTCGACGCCGGAGAGGCTCCACAACACTTTCCAAAGCCAAATTTGTACCAAAAGAAGGTTATGGTGACTGTTTGGTGATCCGCAGCCGGTCCAATCCATCACAGCTTTTTCTGAATCCGAGCGAAACGATTACGGCAAAGAAGTACTGCCAACAAATCGACGAAATGCACCAGAAATTGCGGCGAATGTGCCCGGCATTGGTCAACAGAAAAGGTTCAATTCTTCTTCACGACAACGCTCGTCCGCACGTCGCACAACCGACCCTGCAAAAGCTAAACGAACTGAGCTACGAAACTTTGCCTCACCTGCCATATTCGCCGGATCTTTTCCTTACCGACTACCACTTTTTCAAGCACCTCGACAACTTTCTCCGGGAGAAATGCTTCAACACTCAAGACGATGCCAAAAACGCCTTCGCCGACTTTATCGCCTCCAGAAACCCGGACTTCTATGCTACCGGCATCAATAAACTTGTTTCTCGTTGGCAAAAATGTGTTAATTGTAGTCGTTCTTATTTCGATTAATAAAGTTTTGTTTGGATCAAGTTATGCGATTTTAAATATTCGAGTTGAAAACGCTCATTTATTTCCGGACAACCTAATAGATTTAAGGCAATTATCTTTTTCTACAGTAGACACAACAACAGCCTCACTATCAGTGATAATTCAAAAAGCAGATACGGTATTTTCTCTAGTAGTAGTGCACCATGAGCGTCGCCTAAATTGCTCGAAATCTCAAAAACCGCTTATCAGAACCTATTGATGTGGGGTCAGAAAATGTAGCTGACGATGAGATCTAGTAGGGGATTAGAGTGTTGAGCTTCTGCGAAAACATCGAAACCGTAAAATAGTCACCAACTCGGCTTGCCGATGCACTACTATTAGAGAAAATACGGTAACAAATAATGTTTAGGCTACGATCTCAAAAATTGGCTTTGTGCCAAATGAAACTTTGAACATAAACTTGATTGTAAACAATGAGAGCAAAAGGAAAGTTGATATGGTAAGTTACCTTTTAGTTGTCTTTTAAAAATTTAAACTTTAGTTAAAAATCTCATTGGAAGGAACACAAGAACTTTTGGCTTTTGAATTTGGAAAAAAGCAATATTCGATTGAAGATGGCTTTCAAAATGAAAAAGCACAATTCGATGAGAGAAAGATATTTTCAAAGCATCATGGGAAAATGAAATGTGTAAGTTGTAGTAACTTTTGTTTGTTTTAGCAACAAGACATTCGTTTTAAAGCCAAAGCTATCTGGTAGAACAATTTAAAATTCGGATTGTTTGCGACAAGTTGGAGCTTCTAAGACAAGACAATTTCTAAAGAATCGAGATCGGTTCTACGAAAGGATGATCTCAATTCAAAGTTCGAAACCGTTTACCGACTAGGTGAATTTTATAAATGAACTGCGGTGTTCATAATATTATAATTTTTTTGCTAAAGATTTTTCAACTATCGATTTTATGGATTCATAACCTCTATAATCAAATCGATAAGCTCCGCCTTGGCGCAAACAATCTGGATTTAAAATTGATCTAGAATTTAGCCATAGTTTTGAGATTTAGCATACCGTAAAATACTGTAATAGTACCCCCATCCCCATAATGACGGTGCGGAGTGTTGCGTAGTCTAGCTTTGGATGCGTTTTTTCTCGAGACTGGTTTATGCTACAATGCCCGCTTCGGTATCAAAAAATAGCCCTGAATTTCAGCTATTTTTTGCTACCAAAGACACTTTTTAGAAAAGTACGGGTGCTTTGAAAAGAATGAAAAACTAAAAAACTTTTGCGACTACGCAACTGTACGAGGGGGGTGGGGTACTATTACAGTATTTACGGTAGGTACTCCGACCAAAGATAAAGAACCAAACGGTCCTTTATCTTACAAGGGAATGGCCCCAAGTTTGGAATCGTTTTGACCCTTGTAAATCTTATAGAATCGACCATGGAGATCACGAATACCTAAAATTTTTTCGCCAAAGACCCTGCAAACGCGAGAAATTCGGCTTTAAAGCTTTAGGACTCTCTTTTTGGGGCCTGTTTACGAAAATGAAAGAGTGGAGCGGTGGCTGAGTGGATAATGTGTCGGATACAAAGTTTTCGGTCCGAGTTCGATTCCTCTCTACGCCAAACTTTTTTGCTTTTAAATTTTTGATTACAATTCATTTTTCCTATGCGGGAACAACTTTTTCTGCTAAAAACAAAAGCAGAAAGTGGAGCAGATTGTTAGAATTTGTCATCTAATTGAAAGTTTGATAAAATTCCGTTTCCAGGCAATCAATGTTCAACCACACTGCACAGAATCTCTTGTGATTCCATTCGAAATCCCTTGCGTTCCCTCTTCATTTGAATGTGCGATTAGCCGGCTGTTCTACGTGTTAAACGTAACAAACGTTGAAGAAACAATCAATTTTTGCATAAACAATTCAGGTTTCAATTCGTTCCAAAGAAACGCTAAACTCTTCAACGAGTTGTCAGCTTCCAATTGTAATCGGTGATATTGGATTTGAAAAAGTTGGAGAGTACGGTAAATTCATTTATAGAGACAATCTATAGGAAAGTATTGATATTTTCATTTCAGATCCTCCACCTGTTTACGCAGAGAAACCTAAAATGAAGCCCGGTTCCTGAATAATGAGTAAAAATCGTATTTGCTTGAAGCTTTAATAAATTACATGTACAAATGGTGTCCGATGTCAGTCACTGTTTCTGAAAGATGTTTCTGGAAGTTTTTTGTGGAAGTATTTCAGCTAATTTTGGCTTAAAGAGATGTAGAATTCGTAGCAAAGATAAAGCCAAATTTCAGGCCAAAAATTGTTCTCAAAAATTTGGGCACAGAGAAAGCGGAAAAGCCATTCCCTTCCCAAAATGACATTCCCACCAATCCCGAAAAAAAAGTTCCAAAAGGGGAACCCTTTATACAGTGCGTTTCAGATTCTTAACGCACCCTCTAAAATAGCGAATTTTGCATTTTGAACACCGCCACAACTATTGATCTTTTCTATTAGAAAGAGCATGTCTTGAAACCTTAAAAACAAGAAAAATAAGCATACTATAAAAAGTATAAATTTTCGAAATAGAAACTTTTTGTTGATTTAACCGTTTCAAATTCTTAAACGCACCCGCCTTTGCTGTTGTTATCTGAAATTTTTCGTTTTGTTGTGCATATTTTTTTATTAAATTTATAATTTTTGTTAATTTCCAGGTAAATGGCACACGGAAAGCTGCTCACGGATTATGAGAAAGGCCAGATTGATGCCCGTTTGAGGATTGACGACTCAATAAGGAGTCGACCTAAATCCAACCGTTTCCGATTTGTTTCAATACGACAACGGGTCAATGCATCGAGCCGGAGGCGCCCGAGACTGGCTGAACAACAACAACATCGCAACTTTAGACTGACCCGCTCAGTCTCCTGACGTCAATCCGATAGGGAATTTATGCCGAATACTTGTCCAAGCTGCCTACAAAAATCATCGTCAGCTTTAAGACTTATGTTTGTACCTAAAACTGCGATCCGTTTGGCCTGAAGCTATCTCGACGTCTTTGCTTTTCAAAACCTCATCAATTCAATGCCAGACCGCATTTTTCAAGTAATTAATCGTTCTGGTGCGTGTGCAGATTATTAGTTTTGATTTTTTACCTTTGATTGTTAATTTGTGTCGATAAATAAAATAATTTCATAGTGCGTTTAAGAATTTGAAACGGTTGATTTAGCAAAAAGTTTCTATTTTGAAAATTTATACTTTTATAGTATGCTTATTTTTCTTGTTTTTAAGGTTTCAAGACATGCTCTTTCTAATAGAAAAAGATCAATAGTTGTAGCGGTGTTCAAAATGCAAAATTCGCTATTTTAGAGGGTGCGTTTAAGAATTTGAAACGCACTGTACCAGGGAAATTTGCCAGATGGTAAGCGATTGTGGGAGTGCACAAAGAACACCTGAACTCAACCCACCCAAATCTTCGTTAACCTTTTATCAAATCTTCTTTTTCTTTTCAATCCTTTCTGAAAAGTAATCAATGATATTACGCTTTGAAAAACTCTCTGATTTCTGTTGTGAGAACATTTCTGATAACGGAGAATTCCGGGTTTTTCTCTTTTTGCCCTCTTTCAATGAAAATGATTAAACTTCACTCTTCTTTTTCTTCTTTATTTCTTCTTTTTCTTCTTTTTCATTGTTTGCTTTGTTCCATTTGTGATTTTTATTGTTCGATATTCGAAATTCAAATCATATTTTCAAAATTTCAATATGATTTCTATCATTGCACCGCCAGCATATGACGATTTGGGTATGGTTTTTGTTGATGACATCATTCACTTTGTTCAATGTGACATCATTCACTTGAAGCTTTAGCTAGATTGAAACAATAAAGTTAAATATTTTCAGTTTTCATCAAAATCAACATCTTTTTTTGTTTTTCTGACTGTTTCTTTTAAGAAAACCCTATTCACAATCAGTTTTTGGCCTTAGAAAGTCTTCGAGAGTTTGCCGAAAGTTATACAATAAAAATGCAAATACAGTCAACTCCCCGTATAGTGTAACCCTCTAGTGCAAAGATTTTTTGGTCCCGGCCGAGCTTAATGTATTTCTTAACAAAAATAACTCCTCTATAGTGCAACCCTGTATAGTGCAATTCCCGCTATAGTGCACTAAATTTTTGGCCCCAACCGCAATTTGACTCTCCCTATAGTGCGATTGCAAAACAGTTGTACATTAAAAATGCAAATATTTCACAATCATTTGCATGAGTATAATCGGGAGTAGGACAAATGCGACCTTCTCGCACCGGACATTTGCGCACCTTTTTTCCGTAGCCCATTAGCGCACCCTTTTTCGCGTTTTAAAAAGCTCTCAAAGCTAATATTAACCAATTTCTATTCCAAATGTTGTTTTTCTAGGTAATTTGACGTGTCAAATTCAAATTTTGACATAACAGAGCGTGTGGAACCAATTTGAAAGACAAAACGGCTAGATCAAATTACAGAAAGTTGTCAATTTTTCTCTTTGTATAATTCCGTTCGTTTATTTCCACAACCTCAGATATGTCAAAATTTTGATTCTACGCCCTAATATTACCTAGAAAAACAACTTTTGGAATAGAAATTGGTTAATATTAGCTTTTTAGAGCTTTTTTAAAACGCGAAAAAAGGTGCGCTAATGGGCAAGGTGCGGAAGAAAAGGTGCGCAAATGTCCGGGTGCGCAAAAAAGGTCGCATTTGTTCCACTCCCGTATATTCAGCAAATAGCACAAAAACACTTATTATATTTATTGATATTAAATTACAGTTTTCAAGCATTACATGTCTACTTTAGAAAGTGGGCCAAGTTGCTCAAATAACGACAGCTCTGCTCAATCCCAAATCAATCAAAACGATCAGCAACCACCGGATTATCAAGAGATTGCTGAGGTTAGAGTCAGCATCAATAGCTTGATTTTAGCTAAGAATAATCTCAGTTAAATAAAAATTTAGCTCTCCGTTGATGAATTACGAGTCGCTTATGAAAGGCGCGAGTATCAACTGGCGACATTGCGGCGAATTCACAATGAGGAGAGGAGAAGAGTCGAGCAGGATGTAAGTTTTTTCAATTTGAAACTAATAAATCTTAGCGTAAATACTGTAATAGTACCCCACCCCCATAATGACGGTGCGGAGCGTTGCGTAGTCTAGCTTTGGATGCGTTTTTCTCGACACTGGTTTATGCTACAATGCGCGCTTAGGTATCAAAAAAATAGCTGGAATTTAGGGCTATTTTTTGCTACCAAAGACGCATTTTTGAAAGTACGGGTGCTTTGCAAAAAATTAAATACTAAAAAACTTTTTCGATTACGCGGCTGTACGAGGGGGTGGGGTACTATTACAGTATTTACAGTAGGTACTTATTTTTCATTCTTGATTTGTCACAGAGAGGAAAAAGTGAAGCTGAAGTATGCTTTCAATGATTTTATTTGCAATATCCGGTACTTATGGTTACTTAGATTAATCAAATCTTTTTGATAATTAAAAACAACTTTTTATGGTATTCTCAGACCCAATTGCGCAATTTGTCGCAACGAAAATTTATTGGGTTGTCCAGTTATGAATGCGCGTTTTTACTATTTTGTAAATTTCTCAAGATATCGAACAATGTATATGAGTGTTATATATCATTCGAAAGCTGAAGACCTCATCTACATTTTGGAATCAAAAAGTTTTTGAATTCACTCAACTTTTTGGGAAATTGACTGCACAAAGGGAGAGGTCGTTTTCGAAAAAACCCATTTCAGCTCAGCTATTCCTCAAGTTTTATGGTGTAAAAATAGCCGCCCAGAAAAGAAAAGAAAAGAAAAGATGCTCTGAAATTGTTATATTTTAAAAAAAGTTGTATTGATATATCTATTGGCCAAACATCAAACGGTTAGCTCAATTTGAGCGGAGCCAAAACTTGATCCAAAGGCATCCTTCCATTTTTTGGCCACCGCTTCTTTTGTGCAGTCAATTTGCCCAAAAGCTGAACAAATTCAGAAACTTTTTATATCAAAATGTAGAGGAGATCTTCAACTTTCGAATAATACTCATATATATCTTTTTCTTGATTTCGGTATCTTGAGAAATTTACAAAATAGTAAAAAGCGCGCATTCATAACTGGATAACCCAATAATTTGGCGTAAAGTCGCCATTTACACAATTTAGTTCAATTAGCATTTCTTTACTTACCGTAAATACTGTACTTACCGTACTTACCGTACAGTATTTACGGTAAGTAAAGAAATGTTATGTAAGTTGCGAAAAAAGTACAGAGATTTTTTCAAAATTCAGTAGTAGAGTAGCCAAAATTCCACCTTACTAAAATTGGCTAGTTTTCAAATCATTTTGTAAGTTGAACGACTTGCAATTTAGGAAAGTATCACGATTTGCAAATTTGTCCGAATTTTGTTATTAACTGGCTAGATTTGAGCTCGAAAATTGTAATTTCAGGTGGAATTGGCTCGGCAACAATACATTAATGCCGTCTCGAGTGGAACCGATGACGATCTTTCTTTATCCGGATCCACAATCACAATTATTGAAGTAATGGATGCTGCTGAAAACTGACATAAGATTAGGTCACCAAGGGTAATACCTGATTATGTTAAGAAATGGAAATTTTCTCAGCTTACACTTCATCTTTCAGGCAACACCACATTCGCAGCGCTTAAGAAGGACTCATCCGTCTCATAGCGTTGGTGAGTAAGAGATTAGATTCGAAGAAAAACAAAATCTCTTTTCATTTTTTTTTTCTAATGCTTAAACATTGAAAAATTTAAACATCAATAGATTTTTGAGCAGAATATTAAAAAGAAATGTTGTAAGCTGAGGATTTAGTCCAGTACAGCGTTGTACACAGTGATCGGAATGGTTTAGAGTCAAAGGAATTTGTAGTTCTTAGATCCGACCTCAGATTCGGAACATTCTAATAAAAAAAGCTTTACTGTAGTTTTATATATATATAAATACTTTATTTAGAAAGAAATAAAGTGCGAAAGCGGCAAATGTACCAGATAAAAGATCACAAAGTCACTCAAAATGCAAGAAGTAGCCCTATTAAAATCAAACGAGTTTAATCTCCTCCTTTTTTTATATTCAACTTTTTCCCTGCCTGATTGCGTTTTTTATTCGCCCCACATCCGCTATTTTCATCAATTCCATGACTTTTTTCATGTTTCTGATGTAAAGTCAAAAATGGAGATCAAAAAAGAGAGGAGATCAAACGCAACTTGTCGGGAAGGACATTCCAAACTTGAATCACACGATTTACAAAAAAAGAAGTAGTGAAAAAGAAAAAGTTTTGACTACTGCAAAGTCAAGTTTCCCAAAGTAATAAATACCAACCAATATTTTACAGTTTCCCATCAACGAAAGATGAACGAATGGCAGAGAAAGGGATGTTGTGGGAGAACATTTCTCATTGTGAAAATCCCAATTTGTTTCATGTTAATTATTTTAATTATTGGTGGCTTTGTTGCTTTACTTATTGTTCTCATTGCTGATAAGGAAAAAGATGACGACTCTTTTATAAAAACAACTCTTTCAACTTGGCCTAGAAATTTCTTTGCAGAGAAATGATTATGTTTATTGATTAGTGTGCTGATAAATTGATTCAAATTTTAATAAAAATTATAAACAAGTGCAAGAAATCATGGCTAATCTTCTAAATAAATAGAATTTTGCCATAGAGATTTAATATTAAGTTTCAAAACTCTCATAGTTTAAGACAAATATTCCAGTTCTAGAGTTCTTTCCACGATATAAAGTTCTTTCCACAATTTCAGCTGTGCAACAAATGGTTTTTAGCAAAGTTCACTAATTATTCAAAGCAACAACAAGACAAGACAACAAGACAGACACTCAGTTTTAGCATTTTGCTTCACTTTGAAAAATTCATCACTGTCAAAGTACTAGATTGAGGAAAAATAATGAGCGTCTTGAATTTCGCATTAGGGAATTGAAATTGACTTCAACCCAACACTCACGACTCCCGAGTTTGCAGAAATGTTGAAAAAACTCCCGAGAAAATGTTGATCAAAAAACAATCGACAACCATTTGCACCAACTTGAGAAAAAGTCCTCTGTTTTATTATTACATTAACAATTATAAATGAACTATCAAATTCGAATCGGCCACCATTAGCATTTGAGCAAACTCGCAGACGTTTCGTGAAGAACGGTGGCTACCAAATAGGCTGGATCGAGCTCTTCCCACGCTTTCAACAATGATTTCTTCAAGCTTTCAATCTTTTTGTAGGGCTTTGAACAAGCTTTGGCTTCTAGAACACTGAAAAATCCATTGGGTTGAGGTCTGGCCACTCAGAAAAAGAAATGAAGCCCGGGAAGTTGTTTTAGCAGAACTCTTGGACTTTCTTGGATTTGTGGGCCGGCATCTTGCTGATAAGTCTTGCGAAAATGGTTTTTTTGATGAGATAAAGCTAAAAGATATGCTAATTTTTGACAATTTTAAACAAAAGCCTAAACTTTCATCATCTTTGATGTATCAAAAGCTTGGTTGTACTTCCTCTATTCTCCGCCTCATCTTTGATGTCATCGGCTAGACGTTTTTTCTTCTCTTCACCCCTTTATGATCCCATCGATTCAGCCGGAATCTGATAAGGAAACTGTTTATTTTTAAAGCGATCGACCCATTTTAAAAAAGGCGTTCTTTGATAAACAGATTCTGGAAAGCAAAGATTTCGAATATTTTTCAATTTTGACAAATTCTGATGAAAATGCTCGACGATTTACCTGCACCTCCTGCTTACCACGATTTAGGTGAGTTTTAAAGTTGATAAGTCACCTAATATTTTGAATTTTAAAAAGGTTTTGGAAACAGTCTAGTTTGAAAGATAGAACCTGGTAAAAATATGGTTTAACTTTAAGCAACTCAACCTTTAGTTGGTTTGAACTCTTGGTTTTTCTAAAGTCCTCAAATTCTTGTTATATTGGGTTGGTGAATTGAAAACTGCCGGACTTTTGAACCAAAATTTATTCAACATAAAACCAAGAATTCATTCCAAACAATTTCCATTATTATTGACGACTTCTGCCCATTTTACAGGCAATTTGCGAATTTCACTTTCGTAGTAGGATTTTGGTTTGTGTGTGAGACAAGTGTGAGACTCAAAAATGGAGGACTGGAGATGTCAGCCGTCAGTTCAGTTTGAGCACTTTCTTCAAAAGAAACCCATTTTGGTGTCAATAGAAAAGTTGTAGAGAATCAAAAATAAGGCTTATAGTCAAATTTCCAAAAAGATACACTTAGCAGTTTCGCTTAAAATGCAAGTTTTGTGTAAGTTCGTAAATTTGGCATTTCTTGAAAACCAGTTTTAGAATCGTTCTGAAAATTTGGATATAAGCTTCATTTTTGATTCTCTACAACTTTTCCATTGACACAAAAATGGGTTTCTTTTGAAGAAAGTGCCCAAACTGTCACATATGACAATAGCCGGCTGTTTTCAATTCACCAACCCAATAACTGCTCACTTCACATTCCCAGCTTTTGGCCCTCACCAAATTTTCCGAACTCTTGGTTTTTCTAAAGTCCTCAAATTCTTGTTATAAATATAACTTCTTTGCAAGCTTACATTGTTAATGTTCAGAATTTTCAGATTTGGAGGCACAAACAAGCGGCGCCAATGAGACGAGATCGGAAACTGATCGACCGCCAGATTATCAACCAGCTGATGAGGTGAGTTTTGAAAAAGCTGCACCTCATTTTAATCAATTTCAATAAAATAAACAAATTTAACTTACCGAGCGCAAATTATTTGTCTACCAATCATATTTTGAACAAAAACCTTAATCAAAATGTTTTATTGACGTCTTTCTTGCAGAAAAGCTTAGTTTTGAGGCCTTGAGGAATTTTGAAATCATTCACAAATTCTAAAACGCAGTAAAACCTGTCATAAGCTTGATTTAGTTGAGAAGCATTTGTTTTAAAGCTATTTTCAATGAAACTCGACCATTCCAGCAATCAATGGTAATTTCAGCAATCAATGGTACAAATGAGAGCCGATATCGAGCAGAAAGAGTTACAATTGGCCACTTTGGAACGACTTCAACTCGAGGAGAGATTGAAAATTCAACAAGAGGTGGGTTTTTAAAAACAAACCTTGCTTGAAAAAGCTCAAAAATCAGTCCCTATATAAGACTTCTTTAAGTCGAGAGGTGAGCTTCTGGTCTAGTGGATAAGAGTCTTGTTTCCGAAACAAGCTAGGGAGTTCTTGCGCTGGTTCGATCCCTTCCTTCTGTTTTCATTTTATTTTGATGCTTAACTGGTCGAATTCGCTCTATTTTAACTTTAAAATAAGTACTAGGTTGGGGAAAAGGTTTTTGCCGATTTTTTTGGGAGAGGTTCTTAAACTTGTCCGATCCGGACGTGTAATAACTCATTCGAAAGCTAATTGTCTAGCGGATTGGATAAAAAATATATCAATTTATATCATCCAAATATATCATCAATCAATCGTTTTTTAATATATCAATTTTCAAAGTTTTTGCAGCTGTTTCACTGAGGCATCTGACCACAAATTTCAAAAAATCATTTTTTTTCATTTTTTTGTACGGAAACCTAGACTGAAACCATGTTTTTCGAAATCAGCATTAAAAATTGCCCTAGAAAACGCAAAAATTGTTCTTTTAGCTAAAATTTTTCAAAAGACCTGCCGCGGGCCCTCGAACCCTCGACCCTCAGATCAGAGCCATCCAGAGCGATCACCGCTTTCAGAGCTCTAAAACATTAACATTCAACAAACATTAACAAGACAATGAAACTAAACAAACAAATAATGTCTTAAAACAATTAAACAATATAAAGTAGTACAATACAAAACAAAAAATAAGAGGAAAAGAAACAAATTTTTGGTTTTTGAAAAATTTTAGCTAAAAGAACGAGTTTTGCGTTTTCTGGGGCAATTTTCAATGCTGATTTCGAAAAACATGGTTTCAGCCTAGGTTTCCGTACAAAAAAACAAAATAATTCATCTTTCGAATGAGCTATTACATGTTCAGATCGAACAACTCCCAAACAAGACTCTCTCCCAAAAATCGGCCAAAAATTTTTCCTTTAATAGGACATCTTTCAATTGATAACAAAGAAAATAACAAAAAAATTAACACACTTGGAAGCAATCTATAAAGCGAATGAAAGATAATTTAACATTACATCTTGCACAACACAAAAAGCTTTTTTAAAATAGAATTTTCAGTTAGAATTAATGCGACAACGATATTGTACGCTTCGTGGTGGTGGAAGGAGGGATTCTTTGCCTATTTTGGTTCGTTAATTCTGTGCAAATCGTTTAAATCTTTCGAATTTACAAATAAATATTCATAAACGTATTCTATTTCAGTTATCGAATCGATTCTCTTTACAAATGCATCATCGAATTTCTCCAAGTGGATATGGAAGAGGTGAGGGAATGGGTATTCTAAATGTTATTGTCGTTTCTTCTAAAATAATAGTGTCTAACATTAATTGTTTTCTAAAAGTTGCGTTTAATATTGACTTTGCAAATGAAGGCAAAAAAAGCCACTTTGATTGCTGCCGTAGCCACCGTATTTTTACCGGAAAATTCCAACTAGGGAAATTCCATACATAGGAAAATTCCAACTCGAACCTAATTCCACCTTCGTTTTCTCGCCCCTTCCTTGACCAATTGCCCTGAAATTTTGTCTACAAGTTGAAAATGTCGATTTCTATCTGTAGACAAAATTCCAGAGTAGTCGGTCAAGAAAACGAAGGCCGAACTAGGTTCAGATCATGAGTAGGGCCTAGACATAGGAAAATTCCAACTCGAACCTAATTCCACCATCGTTTTCTCCGCCCTTCCTTGAGCAATTGCTCTAAAAGTTTGTCTACAAGTTGAAAATGTTGATTTCTATCTGTAGAAAAAATTCCAGAGTAATCGGTCAAGAAACAGCCGAGAAAACGAGGGTGGAATTAGGTTTGGGTTGGAATTTTTTCATATTTAGTAAGAACTAGTTCAAGTCTTCTCAAGTTGCGTAAAATTTCACAATTTCAGCATGTTGATAGAGAGGCTGTGATTAAGCTAATGGCTACTGTATTACTGCTTTGGAACTATCGTACTCTGTTTTTCAAAAGAAAACCCTCTAATAGCACACTTTAATAGAGAAATATGGAGATTATTCTTTTTCTACTCAAATTTTCATTTCAGGACGTCATCCATCGATCTCTATCCGACAATATCGTGCCCTTCAACGAACGAATTGTCGCTTGAGAATTTCATTGATAGTTCTTTATGGAATCGTTTGTATTGGTTTCGTTTTATGGATTATACTTGGTAGAAAAAATACTAGTGAATGAATTGTTTATTCAAAAAGTCGATTAATTAATAAAAAGAAAGAAAACAACAAACAAAACTTGAGTCAATTTGAGCAGAAAAACAGTTTTGTTAAAGTTTTAGAGAAAAAAACGTTTGGCAAAACATTTGACTTATTTGAGATAGTAAATTTGTCAAAAACAATGAGTTCTCATAATTTCTAAAAAGCTTTTTTGGCTTGTCAAAGTGAGAAAAAGAGATATTTTTGATAACAATAGGAACAAATAAAAATAAATGGGGAAGGGTTGAAGATTGAAAGCTAAAGAAAAAGGTTAATTACCGTATTCTCTCTGATAGTAGTGCACCCTGAGCGTTGCCTAAATTGCTCGGAATCTCAAGAACCGCTTATCAGAACCTATCGATGTGGGGTCGGAAAATGTAGCTGATGATGAGATCTAGTGGGGGATTAGAACGTTGAGCCTCTGCAAAAGCTTGGAAACCGTAAGATAGTCACCAACTCGGCTTGGCTGGGTTCACTACTTTTAGAGAGAATACGGTAGTCTAGAAGATGGATGCAATTCTGACTAACGAGAACCAAAGAATTTGACTAGCAAATGTCAACGTTGAACTGAGAAAAACGAGCCGAAAATAACTTTTTCAAAAATCCGTGACTGGAGATCCGGTTTTATCAGTTTTTTTGCCTTTACTTCCTGGCTCTCACCGTTTCTCTTGATTCCCCTTTCTTTGCAGAAAAACTTATTTTATTTTATCACTTTTCTATTAAAAGATTGGCCAGAGCAGTTATTGAGAAAATTTGTAATAACTAGATTCTTGTCAAGTAATAGCTAGATTCTTGAAAAACCTCTATAGCTAAAGCTTTTTCTTCTATAAATTAACATAAAACAACTAATTTGAGTTAACCCTTATTATTTAATCTAAACTATAATATGCTTTACAATTCACAGCTAAACTTTCAGGGTTTCTCAATATAGAAACTCGTACTTACGAAGTAAAGGAAAAGATCTAATCTCTGAGTCGGACCAATCTTTCCAATCTCACATACAGTACTGGACAATGAAATATCATATTTGAAAAACGATTGTCACTTTCGCGCGTCTGTAACTCCCTTGTCTTTGAGTTTAAACTATTAGTGTTATACACTTTCTGAAAGCTCTTTTCAAGGGCTACACAATGGTAATATTTATATTTAGAAATACGGTAAAGATAAGGAAGTTACAGACGCGCGAAAGTGACGATCGTTTTTCAAATATGATATTTCATTGTCCAGTAGTGTATGAACTTGTTTTTCATTCTTGATTTGTCACAGAGAGGAAAAAGTGAAGCTGAAGTATGCTTTCAATGATTTTATTTGCAATATACGATATTTATGGTTACTTAGATTAATCAAATCTTTTTGATAATTAAAAACAACTTTAAGAAGAACTTTATGGTATTCTCAGACCCAGTTGCGCAATTTGTCGCAACAAAAGTTTGGCGTAAAGTAGCCATTTACACAATTTAGTTCAATTAAAAAATAAAATCGAGCTATCAAAACAAAAAGAATTAACAAAAAAGAACCTTACAGTGTTCTCAAGAAGAAGAATCTTAAGAAGATCTCAAGAACAATCAAAAATATGTTTTTTTCATTTTTAATTCTGAAGTTCGGAAGCCTTTTGGGTAACATATAAAGAAACTAAGAATTTCTCATCGTCTATGCTTTGATTCTTCACCAAACAATAGTAGCAATCCACTGTTTCAGTGATTTTTCGTCGATACAGAAACTTTTCTACCGAAGAATTGATTCGTTGAGGGGAAATTTGAAAAAAGAATCTGTTTCTGGGTTGTTGAATCGATTCAAAATCAATCGATTCAACTCTTTGCTCAAAGAAAATTTCTTGAAACGCTTGAAAATCCGAATTTTCAGCTTTGCAACTAATCGAGCATTGGCTAGCGCTATTCGGGTTTCCATTTTCAAGACTCCACCGAAGAAAGCCTTTGAAACTTTCAATTGACACTGAAACCCATCGAATTTTCTTGAAAAATGTCTTTTTGAGTAAATTCAATAATATTTCTGAGCAATCTGTTTCAAAAAACAAATCCTCACAATTTCTCAGTGTTGCTGCATTGAAAAATCTCTCAGTTGATTCAAGTTTTGCATTATATTGAGGCATTTGAATCCATGCTTTTTTCCGAACCTCGAAATCGAATCTCTCAAAAATTCTTGTGAAAATCTGCAAACTGACGCCAATTCTCAATTGAAATACGTCAAACACTTTCAAGTTTGAGAAAAATTTGCAAAAACGATTCGCATCGTCGACACTTTTCGAAATAACCGCATTTCTATCAGTGGTCATGAAGAATTCCTTGCAAAAGACGATTTTCTCGTAGATTGATTTTCCTTTGATTAAATTGATGTGAATTGTGAAATCCCCTTTCTGAATCGAGATCCCAACTCGTCTCATCGTAAAGCCAGCACCACAAATTACATGAAAATTGATCTTTTCCAAACTTTTTCCCAGAGCTCCATTGTTGAGTGTCCAATTTCTGAAGAATTTATTAACATTTAATAACTTCATCCTGTCAATTGGATCCAGTTTCTCCAGAATCGATTGTCGGAGTTCTGTTGGAACTAAAGCAAATGAAAGAACAGGAGAATGAAAGAAATTTTCCATTAGTATTTGAATCGATATTTGATGTTCAAGTGATAGAAAAGTTTTTAAACTAGTCTTTTAGATTTAGAGTTAGATTTAGAGTTAGATTTAGATTTAGGATTAGATTTAGAATTAGATTTAGAATTAGAATTAGATTCAATTCTTTTATCTTTTATAATCTTTTTGAATTAGATTCTTTTATCTGAAGCAGATTTTAGTCAGCTAATTGGCTTCAATCAGGCAATTTGAGTCAAAAAGTTTCCCATTCAGCTACAGGCAACTCCTCTTTCGATTCAAGAATTCAAAATTCAAGAATCGAAAGACAGAAATACTTGACAGAATCCTCAAAAGCTTCACTAAACTTGAGAAATTTGACCTTATTTTGTTCAAAACACACATTTCATTTCAAATCTAAAGAGAAAATCAAAAGATTTGACAGTAATCTTTTCTCCAAACTCACAAAAAGTTCAATCAATCAAATCAACAATTTTGCAAATTGAAAAGACTCTTTTATCTTTTATAATCTTTTAGAATTAGATTCTTTTATCTAAAGAAGATTTTAGTCAGCTAGGTATTGCATTTTCTTTCTCCTTTCTTCATAAAACTTAAAATGAGATTATTTTTCTTTAGAATAAAGAATAGAGAAATTTTCTGCTGCAAGAATACCATTCACTTTTGCGAAATACAACGCTCGTACTTTGGTCTTTGGTCTTATCTAGCAATAATACAATAAAAACTATCGTAATTCTGGCGTTAGCTTTTATTCAAATCAATAGGGAACACTATAGGCAAAATCACGTTTTAAGCTATGACATATACAGGGTGCGTCATAATTATTGCAACAAGATACTCAAGGCATTGCACACCAAGAAGTTTCACTGGAAGAAGATTTTTAAACAGAAATAGCATTATTTAACAGTAACAAATAAGGAAACAAGAGATCATTCGATATGACCGCCTTTTGCCTTGATAACATCCCTTAATCGGTTCGGATATGCCTCCACTGTGGCCGGAATGTCATCTTGAGGAGTCGCCTTCCATCCTTTGGTCAAAAGACTTCTTCAAAGAATCCAAACTTGTGTGTTTTCGAGAGCAAACATTAGCCTCTAAGATTGCCCAAATGGGAAAGTCCATCACATTGAGATCCGGTGAGTTTGGAGGCCATTCATCCTTGGTGATCACTGAGGGAAAGTTGGCCACACACCAGTCCTGAACCGTCTTCTTCGTGTGAGCGGGAGCTCCATCTTGCATGAAGGTCCAATTTTGATTGTTATTGGCTTTACACGCCCATGACATCACATTCTTGACATCACAAACGGTCTTTGAACTCTTGTTGCAATAATTATGACGCACCCTGTAAATTAAATTAGGCTATCCAGAAAGTCTTTTTCGTTCCCTTTCGTACTTCCGCTTAAAACCAACAAATGCACCAATTGAATTACGGTTTTTCCCTCAGAAAGACCAATTATTTTTCTAGAAAATAACATTGAAATGGGTTTAAAATGTGTTATGTTTGAATTTTTTTAGAGGTGAGAAAGTAGTCAAAAAGGGTGACGGTTTATCAAGCAATACGCAAAACTGTGCCTCATCGATTAACTGTTTTAAGATGAATTAAGCTTACATGTGTACAGATTTTCGTTTTAACATCATTTGCTTAATCATTTTTTTAAAATAATTGCAATCTTACATAAAGCATTACTTCTAATGACAATGAGTCTAGATTTAGCAAAAAAAGACCAAATCGCTTGTAGCTTGTTGATGATCCGTTTTGACTCTACAATAACCATGAAGTAGTTAAAAGAGTACTGTAAAAGAGTATATTGAATAATTTGTACAGACTTGTACTTTGTACAGTGTCAAAGGTGTCAAAATTTCAGTGTTAAAGGCTAATGGCATCCATATTTTACTCAAAATTAGCTTCAGTGACTCAAATCTAACTGATGCTTTCATAACTTAATCATTTTTCGTAAATATTAGTTGCTTACTTTAGGCATTGGATCAAATTCTTTCTTAATAAAACTTAAAATAAGATTATTTTTCTATTTTCAAGGCATTTTGATGAGCAATAGGTAAACATTTCCCTTATCTGGAGTATTAAAAAGCGCCTCACTTTTGACAATCCGAGAGGGTTTTTATTTGCAATATCTGGCGTGTCAGTGTTGCTTTTCAAATGGTTTCTTTTAATTTCCACATAGCTTACATAGCTTTTACTTAACGAAATGTAGTCTTACAACAGCTTCGATCTAATCTCCATGCATTAATTATGCGAAAATCTATAATATGCTTTCTTCTTTAGAGCGTTGCTCGTACATTTTAAAAGCTATGATTATTTACCGTAATTATTCTAAGAGAAGTACACTCCCCCGTACAGTCGCGTAGTCTATCGACGTTTTACAAAGCCATTTTTTTTTCTCACTTATGTTTTTGATACCAAAAATACTAGATTAGAAGTGCTATCGTTTGAGACTCAAGCGCACATTGTAGCATAAATCAACGCAGAGAACGGAGCGTCTAAAGTTAGACTACGCGGCAATACCCCAATGATTAAGAGAGCCTCTAGTTTTTAGCAAAATGCCGATGCCGGTTTGGTTGTGGAAGCCGAATCGCGAGGTCGCTCGAGAGCCACAACAGAGCGACGAGGAGTATCGTGGATGCTGCAATTCGTGTAAAACTGAGGTAAGCCTGGGTTTTTTGTTTGGCTTAGCTAGATTCGGTAAAATAAGCATAATTTAATCTGAACACAAGAAGATCTTGAGGATCATGCCAGCATTTAGACTTGCTTCAAAGTGGTTCTCGGATTATATTGTTTTCAACTTGTCGGGATGGCCGGGTTGATCCCACAATCGCCCTTGGTTGGTGGGGTGAGTTTTCCATTCTTTGAACTTCGAAAATCTACTACCGTATTCTCTCTAATAGTAGTGCACCCCGGCGAGCCGAGTTGGTGACTATTTTACGGTTTCCAAGCTTTTGCAGAAGCTCAACACTCTAATCCCCCACTAGATTTCATCATCAGCTACATTTTCCGACCGCACATCGATAGGTTCTGATAAGCGCTTTTCGAGATTTCGAGCAATTTAAGCAACGCTCTGGGTGCACTACTATTAGGGGAAATACGGTATATATAAAAGAGCAGTTTGTGTTCGTCCGTTTGTACAGGCTTTTTCTCAGCCGTCTTTGGGCCAAAAAAAACTGAAATTTTATAAAAAGTCTTAATATATAATATGGTTGTACCATTTAAAATAAAAATTAAAAAATCAAAATTGAGTGGCATTACGGGGGGTCGAACCCGGGTCATGTGGGCTGTAGACAAGCGCGCTCCCGGCTGCGCCACGGCGATGCAGCCAGAAAACCCCACCGTTAGGGGGATCTTTCGGCTGGTTAGACTTAAAAATGCTTTTGAAATTTAGCTCAGTTTCCTTACCGCTCTCCTCGGCATCATTCTCGGTTTCATGGCGCTTCGAACACAGAAACCTTTCTACATGCAACTCTTCTGGATTTTACAGGTAAATAATTTAAAAAATACATTTATTTACACGAATAATGTGGTACAAACAATATACAAGCACAATCCCTAAGTGTAGGAAAGAAAAAAACCCGATATACAGTGGTCCACAAAATTAATGCCCCATTGCCATCCAAAATTATAGTTTGCAGAACTTTTGTTGAAAACATAGGTTTGAAGATATTTATTTATTTTTTCCCTTTTAAGAGACTTTAAGTATTATAGTTTTTTAGAAGATATAGATTTTTGATTGAGATCTTTCCAATCAAAAAATCGATCTGGAAGAGTGCACTTGCCCCTAAAATTAGCTCCACAAAAGTAATGCCGCATTCATGTTTTCCTTGATTATTCTTTTATTTTTGCGTTCTATAAACCCCCTTAAGTCAAATGTATTCTATTTTATTATTTAAATGGCCGGCAAGAAGAATCTCGACGCACCGGAGAAGCTCAAAACCGCCAAGGCCCGGGAGAATGGGATGTGGGAAAAGCACGTGGCTAACCTCTTCAATTGCTCGAAATGGACGGTGCGCCGCATCCTTTCTCAGTCAAAAGTCAACCTTCATTGACGCCTCAAGAGTAGCCGACCGATTGAAGGTTGGCTACCACTACAAAAGAAGATCGAGTCGTGATCAGAATGGTGAAAAACGATCCTAACAAAAAATCAACCGATGGAAGCCAAATGATGAGGGATCAATTTAGCAAGATTGTATCGCCGGAAACGATCAGACGATAATTAAATCAAGCTGGATTACATGCAAGAAGGGCTGCCCGTAAACCTCTGATGAACTCTAGGCACCGGAAGCAACGCCTCGTGTTTGCATGAACCTACTGAAGTTGGACGACACGTGATTGGGCGAAAGTATTATTCACCGATGAGACAAAAATCAATTTATTTCACGCGGACGGGAAGCATCTCATCCGGCGACCGACTGGAAAGCGATACACACTCAGCCTACGGTGAAATTTAACGGGGGAAACATAATGTGTTTGGGCAAGAGCCTTTTTAGTATTTTGTTACCTGGTTGTTTGTTTAGGAGCGATGTGACAAACTTCTGTAGGTCCGTTAGTTCACGTCAACTCAACGATGGATGCTGTGGCCTACAAGAACATTATGGAGACTCAAATGCTTCCTTTTGCAACTCAAACCATGCCACCTGGATGGTTGCTTTACCAGGATAACGACCCTAAACATAAGTCAAGGATGATGATGATGGGACGAGTGGTGAGTCTTTGAAATGGTACACGAGCACGACTTCCGGGCTGGCTTGCGGCAAGTCGAGTCAAATTGATTGATTCGCCTCCCTACTCACCGGATATGAACGTTATCAAGCATATATGACCATTTGTGAAGTTGTGGCTCAAGGGAAAGAAATTCGGTTGGAAGGCCGCCTTATTGGTTCACATCCAACGTCTCTGGGCCTCCATCCCCAAACTCTTTTGAAGAATCTCGTGGATTCCTTGCCGGATCGACTCAATGAAGTGATAAAAGCAAAAGGAGGACCAACCAAGAATTGATTCTAAAAGATTTTGTTAACTCTTTGCAAATGAGGCATTACTTTTTTGGACCACTGCATATGGGAAAAAAGAATCAATAATCTACCCGACGGGATTGAATCCTTGACTTCTCGACTAAGATACAGGGCTCTTAGCCAGTCGCCCATGGCGGCGAGGCTGATTAACCCAATTCGTGATAAGTTGTTTTTAAAAGATCAAGAATTGAAAAATGCCGCCTTTGACGGAGTCTTAATCATAAAAACCTTAAAGCCTCAAATTCCTTTGTCTTCAGGTTACCTCTACAATTTCCTCGACAATCATCTTGGTTTCGAACGAGATTTTGTTCATAATAGCTTACAGGTTTAAAAATTTATTGGAATTGAAGAAAGCAAACTTTCAGTCAAATGGAGGATACACGTAAAGAAGAAAAGAAGCAATTGCTAGCGGCGTTAATTGGTGAGTTTCATGGATTCGGTTCTATTCGCTTCTAACTTAAGAGAGATAAGGAACCAAGTTTAGATAGAGAAGCAGATAGGGAACAAAATTTAGAGATAAGGAACCAAATTTAGAGAGATAAGGAACCAAATTTAGAGAGAAAAGAAACCAAATTTAGAGGGAAAAGGAACCAAATTTAGAGAGATAAGCAACCAAATAAAACAGATAAAACAAATACAGATAAAACTCACGAAACTAGTATAATCCTGGGGCAAGTCTTGGGAAAATCAGCTTAAAAGACTTTTGTTCATCAAGTGCTTAAAATCAAGTGCATCAAGGCAATTAAAAATTCTACAGATTTCTTTTTGTTTTAGTTTGGACGTGTAGCATTTTGATCGCGATTCCGCTAGCGTTTTGGATTCTACGCCTCAATCTATACGTATTACTGCTATCTCAGGTATGGATTAGCTATAGTTATTGCTCTTTGAATTATCATCAAATAAGTTTTGATTTTTCTTTAAAAATTACTTGTGAATGTCTAGAGACCGTCAAATTTGGATCGATCAACAATGGAGTCCAGTAAATGACGGGGTTGAATAGATTGTCTTCAAAAATCGCATTATTTTGTCAGCTGTTTGCCCATTTTTGTTCTAATCTGCTAATATAATATCTAATCAATCTAATAAATGATTACAAGAAGATATCGAGATTGCACATTGTTCAATAACAGTTTTATTTGCTTAGCATAAGCTCAAGCTGCCTTGAGATGCTCGATTCGAACTCAAAAGCTTGTTATTCAGTTCTGAAGCCAAGTTTAGACAAGAGCTAAGCTGAAGAAAATAAAAGACAATGAATAATGGTGATTCTTTTTTGAAGTTTTATGCTTGGCCGGGTTGAATAACATATGATTGTTATTGTTGCGGTTTAACCAAACTATAATCTCCAATTCGTGATGTGAATCGTTTTTTGAGACGCTGAAAATGAAGTTTATTAACCAAATTATTGTTTTTGTCTTATTCTTTGTCTATTCACTTACCTGATAAAGTTTAAAGATCTTGATATCATTTTGTCACAAAAAGAACGATAAAACAATTCCCGTAAGAATGCAAAGCGCAAATCTATTAGAGAAAAATTTTGCTAGATTGAAATCATCGAAATAGGCGTTTTAAATACCTACTTGTTTGAGAATTTTGAACAAATATTTTAACAAAACTAATATAGTCCAAGGTAGAAAACCGATCGTTACCAAAAAGAATACCTAGTGTTTTTAATGACGTTTTCTAGTCGAAGTGACTGAAGATCGGTTGGTCAAACCCGTGACGGACCGACAACATACTATAGATGAAGTTGATCCTGAGTGATGTACATCACAAAACAATTATTTACTTTCAAAAGGCGCTCTACAAAAGCATCATTTTCTCAAAAACCAAAAGAGTTGACAGTTTTTTCGTTTAGATATTTAAAATCTACGAACATTTTTTCACTAAATTTATGAGTTTTATAGCAGTTAAAGCAACAAAAGTGATTAACAAGTTCAATACTTAGTCGGAGCACCATTAGCTTTGATCACTGCTTGACAACGATCAACTTTCGATACTTTCGATCAACTTCTCAATGACTTTTTGGGATCTTGTTCCATTCTTGTTGAATAGCCTCAAAAAGAAGATCGCCGGTGGCAAATTTTTTACCTTTTAGTCCACTCTCAACTTGATTCCACATGTTTTCAATCGGATCAAGATCTGGTGATTGAGCAGGTCACTCTAAAAGACCAACATGACTATCATTTCTTGATGAGTATTGAATAGTACGAGATTCCAGGTCCAGGCCTGGAGCTAGTAGATGGACTGGCTTACAGGTCCAAGACTGACAGGCCCAAGACTTCCAGGTCCAAGACTGACAGGTCAAAGACTTCCAGGTTCAAGACTGACTGGTCCAAGACTTACAAATCCAGCCAGGCTGACTAGTCTTACAGACCCTAGGGCTAGGCTTAGTGATTTGGTCCTTGTTGTGTCCTTGTTGTGTATTTGGGGTTGTTATCTTGCATAAACACCCATCCTCGCCGCATGTTTTGGGCTGCATGTGGAAGCATGACTCGCTCATGAGGATGAGGTTAATGTATTGTCTTAGAAAGTCAAAAAGATGCATTAAGCGCAACACTATAAATGCCGCACTCTGTATACTTCACAACCAACATCCCTTTCTATCTGTTTTGATCTCGAAAATGTCAATGCTGGCTCGCTTCGCAGAGCTATGCTAAGGTGAACCAAGAATATTCTGATTGTATCTAAAACTAAAATTTACTTAAATATAAGATACTCAATACACAAGTACTTTAAAATGAGATAAAACAGCGCTGCATTGCTTTGCTCAATCCCTGGCAATCCCTGGCATGTGCGTACTTGTGTTCAAAGCCTTTCTATCTGTAAAGCAATTCAGTTTGGTCTTGGATCTAGTGGTTCAGCTCAAAAACGTGTCAACCACGTTTCGTTTTTCATTCAAGACTGTATTTATTGCCAATTTTTCCTTGAATTTTCGTCTTTTCGATCCATTTGTCAGCGCTCATTTCTATTTCACTCTTTGTAAAAAGATCCGTCATTCAAGTTTTTTCCCTCAATCAGTTTCATTTCGAATCTCATTGCCATTTTTGATGTCTCATTGCCATGAGACTTTTGATAATATTTCTCTTTTTTCTATTTCAACTTGGAGAATGTAAGAAAAGGCTGAAAGCTTGGCAATTGAGTGGATTTAGTGAGTTTTGATTTGAATTTTTGTACGAGTGAAATTCAGAAGTCCGGTATCTACCCACATTGGTCGGCCACATCTCAGCTTTGGTTTGTGAAATTGAAAACATTTTTATAAAATATTTCACTAATTATGAGATTTTTTTTGTTGTAAATTGGTCAAAGTTTACATTTGAACTTGTTTTTTTTTTATTGCTCTCAAAATTTATTCCTCTCCGTCATGATTTAAATAGTTCTAGGCAATTTGCATACTTCTAAGAGTCACATTGAATTATATTTAAGGTTTAAAACGTTCATTTGTTAGATCAGAACATAGCAAAAACCCGGCAGTTGCTAAAATTGGCTAATATAGGAAGTAGTAGTGACAACTTTTTAGAAAAATCACTGGGAAATCGTTAATTTATTTCAAAAGCGACAAGTGCTATATAGCAAATTGTAGCCCTAATTCTCGGCAACATTTATCTACCAAAAACTTTGCGATTAGACTTATAGAACTCATTTAACAAGCGCTTGAATGAGCGCTAGTCGACATCTATCCGAATCTGTCATTTGTCCGCTTTTCTCTATTCAAAAATGTTAAGAAAAGCTTTTCAACAGGCAGACACTGCTCTCTTATATCTAGTGCAAAGTGACCGCAAAGTATAGCAACAACTTTTCGGAACAGCATCTGGTAAATGCCTAACTTATTTTAGAAGTGGCAAGTGTTATCTAGAGAACTATAGCCCTAATTCTCGGCAACATTTATCTATCAGAAACTTTGCGATTAGACTTATAGAACTCATTTAACAAGCGCTTGAATGAGCGTTAGTCGACATCTCTCCGAATCTGTCATTTGTCCGCTTTTCTCTATTAAAAATTGTTAAGAATATTTCTTCAACGCAAAAATAGCGTTTAACCTCACTTAATAACATTAAGAATTACACTTAACTATTTTGGCTAAACTGGCATAACCGAAATTTAAGTTGATGTCGACTAGCGCTCATTCAAGCGCTTGTTAAATAAGTTGTATAAGGACTTATACAACTTATACAAAATCAAGAAGTTTTTGTAGATAAATGTTGCCGAGAATTACAGCTATAATTCTCTAAATAACACTTGACATTTTTGAAATAAATTTGACATTTCCCAGATAGTTTTCCAAAAGTTAGCGCTATAATTACTAAAGCTAAAGCTAAAGGCAGCTTTAGATCAGGAAAATTTCGGGATTATGGTTTTCTTGGTTGTTTTTTAAGCATTATACATGCATAGGTTTTCCAGGAAAACACTCATTTCGGTCTGCAATATTGTCAAATTCCAAAAACCGGCTCAACGATCACGCACACGATTTTATGTGACGTTTTTCGCGAGTATAGAGGCGTTTCTTTTAAACGAGTCTTTTCGAAGAATCAAACCGGAGAAAAGTGAGAAAATACCTAAATATTAGCTCAATTCAATCTAGTGAATGTGTCAAGAATCGCTGGTTTCCCGGCCATCGACGGGCTTTTTGGCGAAAGCGGCGATATCCAATCAAATTCACTCTCATTCGAGACCCGGTTGATCGTTTGGTTTCTTTGTATGGACATTTTTGCGAGTGAGTTTTGAGAATATATTTTTATGTAAGCTTACAAGGGAACCTTCCCAAGTTACAAGTTACAAAAATCAAGGCTTTTCTCGAATTTCTGGCACACTGATTTTTGCCGGGGGAAAGGCTTTCCTTTTGCCATCCCAAAAGTCAGCTCGTAGCCTAGTGGTTAGTGTCCCCGGGCTCGGAACGCTGTGATCTTGGTTCGGATCCACTTGTTAGCTTAAATTCTTACTCTTGTATAGGGTCTGCTTCGTCGGCTGTTTCTTATCATTATTGCGAGCTCGAAGTTCCATAGAAGTTTTATATAATAGCCCTATACATCTACAGATTCGTCTGGAACCCATAATGAAAAGCGGAAAACACATATTTTGTTAAACGCTGACAAAACGTCATCCAGAGAAAACGACTGAACAGATTGATTTGAAAATTTGAGTATAGACATAATTAAACATTCTCTATGTGTTTCATTTGAACACCAAGTTAGGTTTGTTGAATGAAAATCTTTAAATCATCAACTCTCCATCAGCCCATTTTTGACTACTTAAGTTCGATCATTTAGTTTGGGGTGCTTTAACCTTATCATCGGGGATGACTTTGCTTCAGAATAGCGAACAAAAAGGTTAAAAGGGTTTCCCCAAAACGCTTACAACATAACAAGAACACGCAGCATCCAACATAAGGTTAATACTCGTGATAAGAGTACAGAACGGATTGATGCTTCGTCGATGGCGACACAAATGTTACTTAGTTCTTTCTACAATGTTAAACCCGCTATCTAAGCAGGATTTAAAACCTGAAGGGTAGCATAAAGTAAATTGAATTTATAATTTTACTGTTTATTAGTACAGAACCAAAAATGCAACGATACCCATTACAAAAACAGAATGCGCATGAATAGAAACATCAAAGTCCCCCAAGAACGAAGGCAAAAACCCGAACCCCCAAAAAGGGCCAGAAGCTCTGCCAAAAAAACCCTACTTTTCTACTGAACTATTTCTACTACTATTTCTACTGAATAATCCATAAGTATATGCTAACTAGTAGAAAAAGTTTGATGACTTGGTTCAATTGAGAGAATGAGATATGACTATTCAATCAAGTCTGCATATTTTACCTTATTTTGAGAGCTAATGTAAGAGAAAAATTTCATAAAAAGATAAATCAAAAGAGCTAATTGAGATTCCATTGTATCCGGATGGCCGATCTTCCAAAAAATATTCTGAATACTGCTTTCATTAGTGTTTCTATAGAGTTAGGCGAGTCCAGAAAGACACACGCATCAACGTTAGAGCTCATTCTATTTGAATCAAGCAATCGTTATCAAATTTTATCTACTAGTTAGCATCGACTCATAGATTATTCAGTAGAAATTACAGATGAAACGGTTGGCTGCTTTTGAAGAAATCACAAATTTAAGAACCGCAAGAACTTAAGAACCTGAATAGTTCAACAAGCTCAACCCAAATACTGATTTTCTTTTTTGATAAGACCTTAACTCAATGATTATTACCATACCTAAAGATAAAAGCTACCGCTAATCTGCTCTCTGTCAAATTTCGAGCTGATTCTGACAAGGAACAAGACTTAAGTTGGTTTTATTCTCAGTCAGAGGTACATGATCTAATGTTATATCTAAATAGCTAATGTTTTAGTATTCTAGTGCTTAGTTTCCTAGTATAAAATCTCTAATTTCTATAGAGTTAAGCGAGTCCACAAAGAGATATCAAACAAACAGAACGAAGGCAAAAAAAAAAACCCCGAACCCCCAAAAAAAATAATTTCGGGAAGAGAGAAAAAAGACGAAAAAATGCGACGCGAATAATTGCAAAATAGGAACGCAAAAAGGAAGGAAACGGATGCGACCATTTGAAAAAGTGTGAAAACAAAAGCTTTCCGGTCTGGCTTAAAAAGTGTTTTGTAAAGTAAAGATGGGGCTTTCTTATTTTTGAAGCCCCTTGAGTTTACTATTAAATTGGGTTGAAAAGCGCCTCTTGAAAGAATGCTGACATTTCAGGTGCATTGACTCTATAGTTTTCCAGGAATCTGAGAAAGT